TGACTGCAGTGCAGCTAGCCAAATCTGTCTATGATGAATAGACACCATCACCCCAGTGGGCCAGGGGCAGGCAGAGGAGCTCTCACGTGCCCATCCATGTGCAGCTAGGACTAGATGCACTACTCCTAAAATCATGCCTTCAACCCTGTGTTCTTGAAAGCAATAATGCCAAAAAATTGGGTTCACCACTCACCCTGACCAACTCTTTTCCTCTGTCCATTACCACACTGTTTTTAGCTGCTCTCTGATTATTATCACACACTAAAAAAATGGACCATTGTCTTTCACTGACATTACTGTACAGGAAAAAAACATACAGAGGTAGCAGTATCCTGAAGCAGAGCCAAGCAGCAGTAAAACATCACCCTGTTGCACTCCAGAGAAAGGGTCTACTAAGAGGCAGCAAGCTGAGCCTCACCTGGCTTCTCTGAATCCCCAAAAAAACTTGTCATGTTCAGTCAAAGGCTCCACATTCCAACTGGAGAAAAGAACCAGACAGAACAAACAACCTTAAATGCTCCCACATGTAAACACGCTCCCATAACAATGAAAATGGAATATACCCAGCCCTTAACTTTCTCCTAATTTGGCTGGTGGGAAAACAGACAGGCGATGAAAGAAGTGTAGAATACAGACCCTTGGTGTTCTTGTTTCCTACAGCCCCAGCAAGCACATCTCTTCCACAAGTATGCCTGCCTGCTGGGGCAGGCAACCCATCTCTCCAGGGGCTGCGCAGACACAGACAGAAGGACAAGTCCCTATTCCAGCCATTTTACGACCTAGGTACAGTTTAGACATTATTTATTCCCATTGCTACACCTGTTTTTGAGGGGTAATGGAGATGTGTGTGCCCTTTTGTTTCACTTTATGTCATATAGGCACATGTTAGTCTCACACAAATACAACGATGCGTATGTTAAATTAAGTAGGAAGTGTCATTTACTTCAAAGGATTTCAGATACAGTCCTCTGAGTATGACTAAAACCAGTGGAACTACTTAGTGGGCTCTGGATAAAACCCTACTTTTCAAGGTTTCTATGCTAACAGATCAGCCCCAATTCAGCAGTGCTTTTCTCCCCAAAACAGCAGATCCCATCATTCCTAACACCAGGCAGGACACCAGAGCAACCAATCAGATGTCTGCAATGAACATCTCTCCCTAGCCAAAAAAACATCCCACAGACTTAGCATAATAAGTTATTGTCTTCTTAAAAGGCAGCACACACACACACTGATCACCCTCATTAAGGAAGCACGACAATTTTCTTCTATAAAACTTCAGTCTTCATCAATGTTGTAACTGGTCCAAAGGGAGAAGTGGAGTAGCTTAGCAGCCGGAGGACAAATCCACAGATTCCCTGTTTGCTGTTCTCAGAAAAGGGAGGAGGGAATTTGCAGAGCTGAGCGTCTCTTATTTTCCTTTGGACAACACTGCTCTCACCATTTGGATCACTGATGGGATGGTTTTCCTCCCAGCAGCCAGACTGAATGCATCTGTTCAGATTGTTTTCCAGGCTCATGGCAAAAGACCATTGGCCTCAAAAAATCACTGCCCCTGCTTGACAGGCTGAAACCTGTATTATAAGGCTTTGGATTTTAACCTTTTAATTACATTTTATTTCTAATTAGTTGCCAAGAGGGTAGGGAAGTGCTTAACAAGAATTGATGTGATGGAGCCAGCTTTGAAAGTGAGTCGGATATGTTTGTTTATATTGAATGGCAGTACACTTCCCTACATCTGTGAGAAGTACAGCTCTAAATAGGAGTTTTAACAAATAACTTCAAATTTGCCTGGCAGCCCAGATTTCTTTCCCTAATATTTTATTCTACATGCATAAAGCAGACCACAGAGATGCCAGCTAGGGCCAGGGAGGGGATGTGTAGGATTAAAATGAGTGGAGATACAAAGTTGGAGCTTTTGAAGGTAGGGAAAACCAAGGAAAAATTACCTTAAAACACCACCAGACTATTCATCAAGCATTAAAGACAGCAAAATGTCTGCTGGAGAATTGCAGGTGACCCCAATGAGTAAATGGTGCTTCCCAGTGGGGATCCACCAAGACTTTGGGTTACCAAGCACTCCAGCAGCAAGCCGGCTCTACAGCCACCAAGCTCAGACTGGGTCTTTCTCCTGGTGTTTTCCCAGAGGTTTCTGGTGAGCCTTCAACCTAATAAACACCATGATGGAGGGACTGAACCAAACCTCCCAGCACCAGTGGGTAACAGATGCTCTCGTGTAGTTTTTATGGTGACTAAGGAAAACAAATGCATCCTTGAAATGGTGGAGACAAGAACCAACTTCTGATCCTTTGGCAGCTAGAAAATTTATCTATGGTGATTATTGAACATGGGATTAAAAAGGGATTCCTTGTCCTACACTCATGCAACTTATGTTTTGCCCATCATTGAGATATCATTATAAGACTAATTTTGTCATCTGAACAAATGAATGCACACCAGGATGCCAAGCCTTACTCCAAGTTAAATCTGCAAAAACTCCATCTAGAATAAAGATATTCAGTGTGACGTTATTTTACATTAATGTGATACAGGAGCACCTGTATATCCTGAGAGTTAGAGAGATTTTGAGCTATTTAAAGAAACCCAAACCCACATATAAAATAAGCCAATATGCTCATACAGCTACAGCTATTACTCTGCTTCCTTATACAACCAAACCAGCCAAAGTGTTTCTGAAAGTCTAAAAAGATCGCCTGTCAAAACTGACCACTCTAATTTGTAATATAAACACATTATATCCTTTTTGTGCTAATACAGAAGTACACATCCATTCACTCAGTTTAACCTTCCAGTTCCTTCTTCAATCTCCCTTTTAATGATTGCATTCCATTTAAATATATATGCACACACACCTGTGTTAGCCTCTGTTGCAGTGGGAGCAAAAGAAACCCACTTTCTACTAAAGTTTCACTATGTCCCTAACAGCAAGACCTTCTGGGCAACAGTAATTTTGCAAAAACACCTTGAAATGCCCTAATGGTATAACTGCAAATTCATTTTATTCAGAGCTTCCTCCACCTTCATGTCCTGCCAGGGAAATTCATTGCCATTTACTCTTGAATCCCTTTTGCTGGTGGCTTTAAAATAAAAACCTCAAACCAGATCCTTTTCAAACCAGAAAAGGATCGACACATACTTCACTTACCTGAGCTACCCAAAAATTGCTGGCATTGCAATACCAGCACCAACCAGCGATTATGTGTCCTTTTTCTTTACAGGGTTATTCTTGGTGCACAGAGACTGTTGGCTTGGAGAATAAACTTTGCTTTTGGTTTCCATCTCACATAATGATCTTCTCTTCCCTTTTTCCATTTTTGTGTTCTTTTCATTAACAACTCATCACACCCAGTGTCTGCAGTCTCTGAAGCACAGAAATACTCATGCTTTGGAACAAAGTCATGTACCTGGTTATCCCAGCTAGCATTTTCTGGATCTGAATGCATAAAACTTCTGAGGTTTAATGCTTTGTGGTTGCAATGGCAATCCAACATTGAAAATGCCCTATGGGAAACTTATGTTTTTTACTGCGGTTTTGTTTACTTCTTTATTGAACAGAACTGGTTTGTTAGTTATTCAGATTTATAAGTTACATTGATCTAAATGATTCTTCAGCCAAATGGCAGAGAGAAACCCTGAGGCCCTGGGCTTTGGTGAGATTAAATCAGTTGTGTATTAACTATGTTAAAACATTTGATCAAAGGGTATTTGGCAGATTCCCCCAAAGACATCCATCCCTCTTGCTCACCATTCTCCCGTCTGCTGCACTTTTCTATTGGTGTGCTGGTCATGTCTATCTACAATAACTGCAAGTTGTCCACTAAGCGTGCCTTACGCACTAAGTGTGTAAGGCTTTTGCACAAGGAGAGGCATGGTTTGAAAGTGGTAACTCCAAAGACTGGGCATACAAATTGCTGCCAAAGCAATAGAGCTACTTTTCATCTCCCTTTAAGTTCCAGCATGATCAAAACAAGCCTCCTCTTACAGAATTACTCTTCAATGGCTTTACTGGCTTTTTAAATGGCTTTAACCTGCCAGAGGTGAGATTGAGATTACAGACAGAAGCTCTTCCCTGTGAGGGTGCTGAGGTGCTGGCACAGGGTATCCGGAGAAGCTGTGGCTGCCCCATCCCTGGCAGTGTTCAAGGCCAGGTTGGACGGTTGCTTGAAGCAACCTGCTCTAGTGGAAGGTGTCCCTGTCCATGGCAGGGGGTTGGGATTGGATGAGCTTTAAGGTCCTTTCCAACCCAAACAAGCCAGGCATTCTATGGCTCAAAATACAAGTCAGAACTTCAGCAAGTGCGTTGCCGTTTTACTGTCTCCTTGCACCCCTCTGCTCCTCTCCCGGAAGAGCACATCTGCTTTTTGCCAACTTTCCTCAAACTAGGCAGCATATTCCACTGAAGAGCAACAATTCATAGTGCTACATTTCTGCTTTTACATAAACTGTAGCAGAAGAAGTGGTCTGGGCAATGGCTTACCACTCTTTTCCTGGGCCAGTTTAAAATAAGTTAGACTTCTCAAACAACTTTCAGGCATCAGCTTGTTTGTGGGTTTCATTTTCTTTCCCACAACATACACCCCCCAAATACTTCTATTCCAATTATTCTAATATTATATTACTCTATTTATTACATTATTAATATTAATTATATTATTCTATTATATTATTCTAATATTAATTATTTTAGTGGCAAGGTCAATATTTGCAGTCTTGTACTAGTACCAGGGAACTAGAAGGAGAATTATATGTAAATGCTTTTCTCCAACTTTATAAAGCATGCTCCACAAACCTTTTACATTTACATCTGCATGAAACAGGAGCAACATCCCTGAAATAGCAGAAAGAGCAGGAAGAATCAGATGCAGGGCATTAAATATCATCCGCACCTATACATATGTGCGTGTGTACAAATCTACCCAGCTAGAGCTTCTGTGGTATTTGAAAGGACAGTAAACCCTGAAGAGCCTGAATGTTCACAGGGGAGCTTATCAGTTGTTGATGAGGCCCTGTCCAGCCTTACAGACAGCCAGTTTCCTTCTGCAGTGGGGCACTAGTTTGCTGCGGAGCCAGCAGAAAGGTGATAAGCTGCGGAGAAGATTTTTTAGGAGTCTTGCCTATCTTTCACACCAAGTGGCCAGAGCACATTTTCCACAGTTGCCACTTGCAGATAGGCTGGCTGCTTGCGGATAAGGTCAAGAAAGAAATAGGAAAATGGGTTCCAGTTTGCTTCCTCTCACAGTCCCATAGGACCCTGAGGTTAGGCCAAACTGTTTTCTCCCTCCCATCCCCCTTTTTTAAATATATAAATCTCTCAGAGCTTATAACTGCACCAGACAAGGTAGCTATGGAGTCGACTCAGAGCAAGAGACAGATTTCAGACTGGCTATCAGCAATTCCCTGTCTGCAACTGCCAGGCAGGAAAGGCCTGCAAGTTCTGCCAACTGATAGCAAAAGCCTTGGTTAAACTGAGCTGTAAATCTCTTTCAGCCTTCTCAGAGGAAAGGGGTTGTTGCAAAGTTCACCTCTTGCCCAGTGGCGAGTGGCTCTTTTCGGGTTGGGCACCAACATCAGGGTGGTGCAGAGCAGGAGGGCACTGATGCAGGATGGGATGTCCAGCTCTGGGACAGAGCAGCCTCATCCCTCACTTCTCAGGCCACTTCTCTAGATACTGAGAGAAATGCAAATATGCAGCGGCTGAGGTTAGCATCCAGGAGAGATAACATTAGGAAACTCCAGGGGAGAACTTAAGCTGATGTCTGAGGTTGTTGTACCTACATCTTTGAATCTCGCTCTGAATGTTTGACCCCCTTGCCATTGTGGAAGCATACCAGAGCATTATCCTGGTCACTGTTTTCCAGGGTTGCAAACTTACGCTTGCAGGTTAAAACATTTTACCTTCAGCTGCTGACAGTGACAGGAGTCACCTCAAGTTACTTGCATATATTTATGTTTAACACTGCCCTTGGGATAATGCTATTAACGCATAACAATACACAATCACTATAAGGCTGATGTTCTGTACCACTATGATGGTGTTGCATCCATTGGGCAGTTTCCTTTTACAGTGGAGAGAAACTCTGCCAACTGCATTGATGCATCTGCCTCTCTTGGCATCTAAGTGAGCCACCCTTATTATTGCCTCCCCCTCCCACCCAAGAGCCTCCCAACAGAAGAAAGAGATTTGAGAAAAAGTCTATGTGATGCTTCAAAAGCTTTGCTGAATCTTTGCTGCTCTAAGGCATAAATTTGAAATAACAGATTGTTGTGTTCAAGTGCTGCTGTGCCAACCCTTTCGAGTATTGCCAGTGTTTTGGGGTCAATGTGTTAGTGAGGGAATGGCTGAAGGGGAAAAAAGGATTTCAAAAGTTAATTCCCAGTTCAGACTATCTCTGGAATCCTATGTTTTCAAGTTGCCCACGTGCTGCCCTCTCTTCTGTTTTGTGAAGGCACTGATACCTTCCGCTTCTTGCTAGCACAAATCAAACACCCCTTGGCCAAGCTCCTCTTCCTGCAAACTACTCTGACAGTTCTGTCACGCTGATGTGCAGAGGTTGTCCCCAAAACGTGTTCATCTCTGGTTCACACAGCACCAGCACGAGGCAGCCTTGATGGGTACCAGAAAGCAGCTTGTCTGTCTCTAGCCCATGAAGGGAGTGGAAAAGGGTCTTATTTTGCACTTCATGTGGTTTCCAAACAGCCTTGTAGCCATGCATGAGGCTTCACCCATCCATGCAGGCATGGTGGGGTGCTGCCAGCATCCTCCATGGGTGGCACCCACCACAGCCCCCCTGCAGCATGCCAGACTCTTTGCAGCCCCATGGCACTCCTTTACAAAGATATATCACTTCTAATCAGTGCTAAGACCTCCCAAAGAAATGGTGCAAAGTTGGAATGGCAGGACACAGAGGTGGCTCAGCCAGGGCTTCTGTGTTCCCAGCAGTAATGGGACTGGAAAAAGGAGAAGCCAGGAGATGAGAGGGCAAGAGGGGAATATTTTTCTGGTAGAAAAGAAATATGCTAGGGATGAACATGTAGTGCCAGTGATATTTTAATCTCATTGGCAGGGAGCTGCTCTTCCAGATAGGCAGAATTAGTTTGGGGTTTCAGTGTCTTCCCTCAGTTGGGCTGGCAGATAGAGGGGCACAAGTGATCTGCCATGCACCACCCTGGTCCTGGGGATGCAAAATATTCCCTGACCCAGTAATCAAGAATTCAATAAGGAAAAGTAATCACAAGGCCAGATTTTCCCCTCAGGGTGACTATTAGGTTGGTGTCACCAGTAACTCCAGTGAAGTGGCTCCTGATCAGCATGGTGCAAAGAAGGGAAGAGCCAAGGCTGCAGACTCCCAGGCCCCAATCCTATTTAGCAGTGGAAATTAATGAGACACCGCTAAGGCTGATTTGCACACTGCAAGACCACCTCCATGACCCCTATGTCTGTCGGCAGCAACAGGAGCACTGACCTCACCAAAATGTTCTTGGTGCTACCAAGAAAGCTCAGCAGAGGTTGAAATCCATAACTCAGAAGGGCCCAACACCAGAAGATGATGTTCTTGCTTTATGTCGGCAATCAAAAGGCACCATGTGCAGGATAAAAGAGGTTTTTTTGTCCCTTTGCTTCTCCAATGGAGACACACACATGCACAAGGACATCCCTTGTAGAGCCATCCGTATCAGAGGGACAGACATCACAGCCGCAGCAGTGTTTTTCCACATCTCCGTTTGCAAAACACTTGTTCCTTGCAATACCTTGATGCTGTCCCTGTGCAGCATTTCCCTGTGACACAGAGATAAGAGATTGGCACCAGCTTCTCTACAACAGACCCACAAACCCTTCCCCTAGCACAAAACCATATTATCTTACAAGCTATTTTTCTCACCAGGGAGATTTTACTTATTCCTATCTTACACCTGGTAATGAAATAGCACAAAGTATAGGGTATAGGAAAGAGGAAGCTTTTGACTGAATTCATACCACTTTCTACAGTTCCTAATTTAATGGTTGTCTATTAATAGGAAAAAAAAGTAGTTGTATAAGTTATTTGGGCAAGGTGATTGCCGTAGGTGCCCTAGTTAGACCTGAGACTATTAAAGCATCTCAGCCCACTGAGGTTGATAAGAGTGGTTCAGCCCACCCCGTCTACACTGCTCAATTTACTGTTTGAAGGTAAAGAAACCGTGCCTGGAGACATGCAACTTATATTTGTCAATGCATTGCATGCTACTACTGGGAGCTTTAGCTGTAAATACCCTCCAGTGTGGTCCAAAACAATAACAGGGCATTTGTCAGGCAGGAAGAAAATCCACAGAGCTCCATTATGCTGAGGGACACCAAAAACTGGAGAACAGACAGTGGAAAAAAAACATTACTGCAGCCAGGGAGCAGAGGTCTGCCAAACCCAGAGAGTGAAAAACAAAAGGGCTGCAACCTATACTGGATAATATCAGAGACTACAGTAAAAAGGTTAAAAGAAATCATCTCTTTCTACCACATTTTTATTGCCTCCTTTGTTTAGACTTACAAGCCTGAAGGCTCAGTTTTTCCCCTCTTGATCACTGGTTTTGGGAAATTTTTGTCATCATTTTGTACTAGATGTTGCTTTTCTTCAAAGAGCTCACATAGACTTCATGCAGAATGAGGACGTTGGTCACTCCAGGAGAGGAAATGCCAAATGAGTGTACAAACAGGGAGAGAAAAATCTCACATCCCAAAAGAGACAAATCCAGCAATAGAGACATGCCTCCCTTGTAAAATGTGACAATCAATATAACAAAGAGAAATGCAATTCCTGCCAGCCCTCTGATAGACATTGTGCATACTGGGCCTGGATATATCCTCCTCTTCCTCTCTGCCTTCAGAGGGGATGTTATTTGAGCCAAACATGAAGCTAAGCCTGTCAATAAGGATTTACTGGCTTGCGGACAAAGCCTACCAGTTACCAGCAGCACCACCACGGAGACACTCAGTGAGGGCACAGCATAAGAGTTGCTCAAGAAAACATCACTCAGACAGATGGGGGCTAACCATTATGTGTGTTTGCCTAAACTACCAGCTAATTGAGGTGGAAAATGACTTCTCCAGATGACGGACACTCCTCATGGTCTTGATTAACTCCCTTTGTATTGTGGTTTACAGAAATATGTCAGCGTTCTCCATCAATCTGCCAGCAAGTCTTTTCCCTAACATATTTCAGCTTGCCACTTGGCCTTTCACTGCAGATAGGTGCTGCCACAGCTGATAGAGCTCCCGCATGACATCAGGGAGCAGCCCTACCTCTTTCCACTGGTGTTGACCTTCCTCTTTCACAACAAAAATGAAACAAGTCAGCAACTTCAAAACAAATGGCGTACTGGTGTAGTTGTGGATTTGGAAGTGAATATTTCTCAAACCTACCCTAGGACTGAGAATAGTTATAAAAAGAAAGTGCCAGGGATAATGCAGTTGAAGAGTATTGGTGCTGCTTTAAACATATCTGTTGGTATCATTTGCCAAGTATGATTGTAATATTGTAATTATAAAATTAACTTGGCTCCTTTTTTCTCTTGAAATCAATAGGGATGTTTTAACATCTCAGTAGGATGTCATACATTCCACTCAGGAAGAACTGAAGTTGCAAATGCAGGCTGGGAAACACCTGATGGGAAAAAAGGTGGGACTTAGAGCTGACCATGACTACTCAGAATGCAGCAACGCATGTCTCTGTATGCTGTTTGGTACATCCCTGTGCCCTCTGTACCCCTGATAGTGCTCCACTGCGGGACTGCATCATGTATCAGGTGCAATACTTCACGTAAAAGTAAAGATTTCTCAGCTGTGCAGGCAATATACATTTACAGTTACAAAGCAGCTTAAGAGAAGCCGAAAGGGCACCAGGGATGGGGAAGAATAGGCTGAAATGCATTCTCTTAAAAACTTTGTTCTGCTTCTAGATACTTCCACAATTCCTCTTTTCCTAGGGCACCTTTCTCTTTCTGAATCACTACATTCCTTTGCTACCCCAGCAGCAATCCATATGGGGGCTAATGGTCTGCCAGAAGAAAAGACATGGACTGAGGAGTATAGAAGTGAGCATAGAGGGAGCAAGCAGAGACTAGAAAATGTGGCTTAAAAGGAAGTGTTGAAAGAATCAAAATACTTGCTATGTATTAAAGAGGCAAAGGGAAGGGATATTCAATTTGCTCCTTGCCTATCAGAAATGATGCACTAGATAAAAACAAAAAAGGAGAATGGTAACTAAGTCCATTCGGATTCACTAACTCAGGTTCCCAATAACCTTGTGACTATAACATATGTTGATTTCAAGTTAGGTTGCAAGACAAATGGCTCTTTGTGGATGTTCTGCATTACTTCTTTGGGAAAGACCTCCTTTCACTGCGTCTCTATACAGCATCTAATTCAGTGAGGCCCTGCTCCAAAGTGGAAATCTACAGGCAACAATGCAGAAGTCCACTTAAAAGCTAGCCAGATTTAAATAGCTGGAATAATTAGCAGGGAATATTCTACTTGTACTCTGCCATTTGGTCATCACGAAGTCTACATAATATTCAAGATCTAAAAGAAAAAACAGCCTCACAATCCACATCTGCTTTTCCCATTACCCTAGAATTTAGGTGCTTGGCATTTGAACTTTATACACAGATAAATATGCCAGATCATTAAGAGATGAAGACCAAGAAAACCTCAGTTACTATGTAGAGTCCTAGAAAGCTAAAACTTTTGCTATATTTATTTCATTTTTTTAAGTTTATCAGAAGAAAAATCTTTCTCGTTTTTAAATAGTTACATAGCTAAACATTAATCTTATATCATCTTCACCACTGCAGACTCTGTGTGCCTTCCAGCTGTGCCATAAAAGGTCCAACTAACTTTTCTCCTCCCTTCCCTAAGGGGAGGATGTGCTCTCCATAACAGATACCTGCTACAGTGCTCCACATGCTAACATTACCATGAGGGAAGAGAGTGCAGAGAAAAGTAGGCACGCACAAAAACCGAAGGAAAAGGTTTCCAAGCTGAACATTTTGTAATACATCTTCCTAGTGGGCAAATTAACAGGTCAGTTTCTCTAAACTTCTCAGAGTGTTATTGTTTCTTTGTACCTTAGATGAATGTTTTTTAAAAGGCAAGCATCCCTCCATGAATCTTTTCCTTGTAAGTGACAAAAGGTGCATAAATGATAGTCTTCAGTAATCTTACAGCCCTATTGATCTCCACCAATGAACAGAGAGAGGGTTTCTCATTTAGGAGGAGGAAACAACCAACTGTAATCCATTGTGGACCAGCCTGGGAATGCTGCCTTTTTATTTTTTTTCTATTTTAAAGATAGGATGGGTTAATTTCCCAGTTCTAAACAATTTATCTGTGCTGAGCTGGAAGAGTGTTGAGTGGGAAAGGGTTTCATTGTCCACTAGGGCCTTATGGCTCTTCAACACCCACCACTTCTGCCTCATGTCAAAGAAAAGCAAATAGGTTTATTAAATAGCTGTCAGGCCGAATGAGGCTGTACAGAGAACAAACAGAAGGGAAATTGGATTAGAGGCAGAGTACATGCCACACTAAACAAGGGTACAGATTTACAGCTTTCACTGCACAACTGGACAATGGACTTTGAAGATGAGTTTTGGGGAGGGGAGAGCCAAAGTCTGGGGATAATAGGAAGATGACCCATGCAGCCCAGGCAGAGCAGCAGTCACCCTCCTCAATAGCTGGAAGCTCAGAAGTAAAGGTACCCCTGGCTCCAGACTCCTGTCTGTGTGAATAGAAAGCGTTCCCAGGCTGTCCTCTGCCCACCTCCCTCAGGGAAGATGCTTTCACCCTGATCTTCTGAGACATCAGTCCTAAATCACACCATCTACCCCAGCACAGGAAACAAGAAGGAAAAAGAGTCACAGCAGAGCTACAGAGAATTAAACTTTCCCCGATAAAAGCTTTGGCTCACAGGCGGGCTCACAGAGAGGTTGGGCACTTTTGCAAGTGGCTGATAGTTATTCCCAGAGAAACCCCAGCCAAATTCTCACCACGGAAGGGGAAGTGCCAAAATATTTTCAAGTGCTTTTTAGCTGGAAGAAAAGGGAAGAAAAATGCAGAGGTACTCCCCAAGGGGACTGCAGGGACTGGTAGGGTCAGGAGGATTGTAACGCGCCAAGCAATGTAAGGAGCTGTGTGTTTTGTGCTGAAAAACTGCAGACCTCAGCTACTTAACATATGCAGTAACTGGAACTGACTACTACCTGGTGTTGCTATAGCAGCCTGAACTTTTCTTATACTGAGGAAAACATACCACATCACCCAGGCCACAGTAACCGATTCCACTGTGAGAAGGAGCAGGTCTTGAACCGTTTACCCTTGCACCCACCTTCAAAACCTGTGGTTTTGTCTCCTACAGGCAAGCTGGAAAGCAAAGTGCTAGATTCCAGATGTTCCTCCACACTGAGGCCCAAGACCAAGCACTTCTCTGGACCTTTGCCTCAAACCACTTCAGGCAGGTTGTGATTTCTTCACACATCCACCCCAGCACAGCATCATCATAGAATCATAGAACAGTTTTGGTTGGAAAGGACCTTAAGATCAACCAGTTCCAACTCCCCTGCCATTGGCAGGGACGCCTCACACTAGACCATGTTGCCCAAGGCTCTGCCCAATCATCTCAAAAGCATTTCTGGAAAGCAGGACCCCTTCAATATCCTCATCAATATTACAGCTTAGCTCCCATCTCTCCAACATTGAAGGTAAATGCACTGCTCAGCTGTGCATTGACCTGCATGTTTGCATCACCAGAG